ATCTGCATCCTATCAAATCACTTTGCCCCTTTTAATCTTAGTCTTTCTTATTCACTTGCGATTACATTATTGTAACTAAAGATACATAATGATAGCAATGTTCCAGTATTTGAGAGGAGGGGATCAACTTATTTTCCAAAGCAACAGAGGGCAGGACAAGCAACAATGGATGGAAACTAATCAAGAAGAGAAGCAACCTGGAATTAAGGAGGAACTTCCTAAAAGTGAGGACAATTAAACAGTGGAATCTTCAGTGCTTTCAGAAGTTGTGGGTGGTCCATCACTGGAGGTTTTTAAGAAGAGACTGAACAGCCATTTGTCTGAAATGGTATAGGGTCTCCTCCTTGAGCAGGAGGCTGGACTAGAAGACCTTGAAGATCCCTTCCAGCTCTATTCTGATTGACTGGGCCAGTTTGATGTAGTGTAAAGGTGCTGGCCTAAAAAAACAAGAGATTGTGAGTTATATTCCTGCCTTGGAAATGAGAACCAATTGGCTAATCTGGTAGTCACTATCTCTCAGCCTAACCCATCTCACAGAATCATTGTAGGGAAAATGGAAGGAGAAAGGAGTACAGTATTAGGTATGCTGGATGCCTTGAATTATTTGTAAAAATAATAAAGGTGGGATAAAAAAAATCGAATAAATAAAATAAACTTTTATGTATGAATAGTCTTATCCTTAAACGACATGATTGAAATAAAGATATTTTCCTAAGCAGATAGTTTTCTTATCCATTCTTGGGTCTTTGAATGGCCTAATCCCTTTTTCTGTCCTTTCTCATCTCATCTCTGTCTATCATGTCACTGAACAGAATAATTTTTCAGAATGTTCCCCAAATCTCATATCTTGTTCTTTTATTACCACCATTAACAGGACCATAAAAAGCATCTTTCACCAACTAATAAATCCTACTTTCAGATGTCTGAACAACAATTGCGATGACACCAGCTCACAGTTCCTGACATTTAGCCCTTTCATTGATAAATAAATCTACACTTCCACTTCTTTGTGACTATTCATCAATTATACTCCAAAAGATCAGACTACCTTCATTCATTCTATTGTGCTGTATTTGTAATAGATTGTTTCTATTTCATCCTTCTTTTTTCTGTTAGTTTCAATAACATATATCTTTTCCCTTTCTTTTCATTAATTAACAGGCGCTGTTGCAAAGAGATTTAGGGGGGGAAATGAGAAAAGGAAAAGGAAAAATTCTGCACCAGTCTGAGCGGCTGCGGAAATCAGGAGGAATACATGTGTATACACACACACACATACACACACACACACACAGAGAGAGTCTTGGAATATAATGCAGTGCTAGAATAGCTAAGATACTGCTCAGACTCCCAGGTTTCTGATAGATGAGCCAAGGTTGAGGAAGATACAGACCATCCATAGGGGTGAGAAGAGATTTTTTTTCTATATGTATATGTATGTTTTGGGGGGATATTTCTGGGATGGTATTTGTGTATTGTACGTAAATTTTGGGGAGGTAATTTACTAGCTGCCATATATGTGTGAACTCTGCCTATGGAGTATGAAGATGGGAAAGCTGCCCGTTTGGGGCTGAAGTGAGGTCTGGTGTGAACTTCTGGAAAGGTATTGTGCATTTGTGCATGGAGCCTAGGTGAGAGAGTTGAAGAAGAAATGTGAGCATAGAGAGACTTTGGCATGTTTCTTTTGACTGTTATTGTTTTGCTTTGGGGTTGGCATATTGTCTACGTGTTAATTGTTGTCTTTTGTTTTGATGCCATTCTGTAAGTCAGTTGTATCATTTTTATTTTAATGATATTAAATTTAGCAGTTGAAGAGACGGGGTGACATATGGTAGAAAGTCCTTGATATAATTTTGCTTCTCTTTATATGTAATTGTTAACTAACGAGCAGAACAAAACAAAAAGCAAAAACAAAAAAAAAGAGACCAATCTCTTGGACTTCAGGTGGCATGCCCTGGTTTGTACATTTGGTTGATCTTTAAGAGAAGCTTCATCTTCTTGTAGCTGATCTTCTTGGTATCCAGAAAAGCAGACACTGATCAGTAACAATTAGAATTTTTTTTGAAAAAAAGCTTAGGGTTTCAAGGCTAAACTAGGTATTATGTGGCTTATTCTTTAAAAACAGTATTTGGAACATATTGACTTTGGAGTGGAAACAAGCTTCCTTCTTCTAACAATTTAGGAGGCAACCTTTTATGTATTATATTGTTTATATAAATCTTAGTTTTACAACTATCTTTATAAGGGAACCACATTTCTTATAGGAACAAACAAAGCAAAAAATAAACGAGAGGTGTTTCTGTCCCTTCTTCTAACTTTACATTCATTAATCCATAGTTCTGTGTTGGTTTTTGTTTTCTTTCCGTGGTGCCTTCTCTTGGCTTTGTCTCTTTTTCAGTCTTTTTCAGAAGTGGCAAGCGCAGAGGCAAGCATTGGGCACCCAAATATTTTGCAGATTTCTTTCTACTATTGTCCTCGTAATTCCTAGTCATCTTATTGGCTAGAGAGAGGAAAGGAAAGGAAAGGGGAGGGGAGGACAGGGGAGGAAAGGAAAGGAAAGGAAAGGAAAGGAAAGGAATCCCTGCGGATATTACTGTAGTTGTTGCTGACTATAGGGAGTAGCTCCCATCTCCATTTCAAGGCCATGAGCCAGCACTGTCCGAAGATGTTTCTGTGGTCATGTGGTCAGCATGACACTGTTTCCTCCCACCAAACTGGTATTTATTTATCTACTCACATTTATATGCTTTCGAACTGCTACATGGGCAGGAGCTAGGCAAAGATGGGCATTCACCTCATCATATGTCACTCAGGTCTCAAATCAGGCTGTCAGCTTTCCAGTCGACAAGCCCAGCATCCTAACTGCTGAACCATCACACTGCCCGAAGTTAATGACAACTGGATTTTTAAATACACCTGGAAGCTACTTACCACCACTAAGTTATAATAGATCATTTTATTTTTGACTGATATATCAACTGAAAATATATGTCTGTGTCTATATTATCTGTAGTTATGTCTAAAAACCAAAGCAAATGAAAGTGGAGTGTGATATACTTGTATAGCCATCCATTTGGGCTGATGCTATCATAGCCCAAATAAGACAATTTCCATCATCCTTAAATAGGTTTTATTTGGTGGTCTGTGTTAAGAAGAAACCTTCTTAGTCCAGCTTGACTGCTAGTATCCCTCTGGAATTGATGATGATGATGATGATGATGATGATGATGATGATGATGATGATGATGATCTTACATTAAAAGGGAAAATTCAGAAGCTTTTCTTCCACCAGAACTCATATATTTAAAATGATCTCAGTTAAACTAAACAATTCCAGAAATCTTTTCAACCAATGATTTATGTGTTCCTCTTTTCCTACAATGGGTAAATGTGCCCTTAAGCTCTTCAACTCCAGATTTCATTTTAGCTCTTATCAGGGCTTTTTTTCTCATAGAACGCCCAGAACAGAGTTCCGGCACCTTTTTTGGATGGAACCTTGTAGAGTAGGCAAGGTGGGTTGTGTGACGTGCGTGAGTTCCAGCACCTTTTTATTTTAGAAAAAAAGCACTGGCTCTTATACTTCTAACTGTATGGGTATGTTTGTGTGTGCACATATCTGTCTGTATATGTACATACCTCAACACATACAGTTCTTACTTAAATGTTCAAGCTGATAGTAATATATTTGCACAGATAATTTCTGCGGGTTATATTTTTCAGAGGAGGAGAAGAAATACTAATCACGAGAACTATCACTGGTTTAAATAAGTGGCATGACTGAAACCATCTGAATCTTATTAATGATGATATTATCCAAGAGATGCTCTGAATACGAAACATCATTCCTGGAAAATGGATTGATCCCATCTATAGATGTTCATTGATTTCCTAGGAGAATTAGATTTAAAGGCATTATTTGGGCCAAGAGACATCATGCATTCCTCTTGTGCTGGGTTTTCCGGGGACTGTCTTTAGTTTTGCTCCCAAATCATTTTCCAGGTTTGTCTGAAATAACCACTGCAGTCAGATCTTTTTCTGAATTACAGATCTGTGTGATTATCCTCCATTCAAAAGATCCATTCAGAATGCTTTCTTAACTTTTTATTCTTTTTTTTCCCCCTACAGCTCCTAGATTGTTTTGTGATTCCAGTTGTGATCTTACTTTCTTGGTTCTTCCTCCTGGTGCGATACAAAGCAGTGCACTTCATCGGGATTGTGGTTTGCATTCTGGGCATGGGTTGCATGGCAGGAACAGATGTGCTTGTTGGAAGACAGCAAGGAGCAGGTACGTTTTTGCAGATTGGAAGGAAATGTGGTTTTTATTGTTGTTACTAAGTTCCCTGATAATGTCTGCATGTGGAAACATGGCAGCTTGAGAAAATAATGGATTTCCTAATGATGTCAGAAGTGGCCCTCAGGATCTTGCTAAACTATTTTTACCAGCATCTCTCACTATTGTGCATTTTAGCTGAGACCACTGTGGGAATCCTGTGATACCTGGAGTTCCAAGCAGCCTGTGGAAGGCCATAGAAACTTTGCCCCATTTTTTTTTGCGAGCCACAGTTCACTTTATAATATGTGTGCAATGACTTCCCGAGGTAGCATGGCTCTATGACAGTGGTGGCGAACCTATAGCACGGGTGCCAGAGGCGGCACTCAGAGCCCTCTCTGTGGGCACGCGCGCTGTTGCCCCAGTCCTAGGCCTTTAGCTGGGTTTTATAAAACCTTTTCACTTTAGGCCTCCACCGCCGTGTGCAAAAAAAATGAGTCAATTTCAACTTCTCGCAGGAAAAAAAAAGATCTTGCAAAGTTGGAATTGATTGATTGAACTTTTTAGTCCCACCCAGTCTGCCGTTACCACCACAGCCACGCCCATCCAATGGGCCACACCCACCCAATTAGCCACACCCAGCCGGCACCCGACAATGCATAAGTGGGTTTGGGGTTGCAGTTTGGGCACTCGGTCTCTAAAAGGTTCGCCATCACTGCTCTATGATATAACTTCCATGTACGTGGATTGAATACCTTTGCCTGCAGAGAGGAAGACTCAGACATGATAACCAAAACTCTTTTGTCTAAAACTCACGAAGAGTGTTTCTGAATGAATGAAGTAGAACTTCTAATAGCAAATTGTGATTTATTAATTTTTTTTACAATTCTTTTGCTCCTAGGAGAAAATAAGCTTATAGGTGATCTTCTAGTACTAGGTGGGGCCACTCTCTATGGCATCTCCAATGTCTGCGAGGAGTACATCGTACGAAATCTGAGTAGGGTGGAGTTCCTAGGGATGATTGGACTCTTTGGTTCCTTCTTCAGTGGAATTCAGCTGTAAGTAAAGAGAGGCGTCTACTCCATACTGTTGCATGGAAATAGAGGAAGTTCCACAGCCATCTTCTCTCACGTTCCATTTGTTCCTGTGTGTTTTCCTACAGATTGCTGAATGGTCAGATCATCTGGTCCACTCACTCCACTTTGCTTTCTCATTCGACCATTCAAAACAAAATATCTGTTTGCTAATAGAAAAGTTTTTTTTAAAAAAACTTTGTGTCAGTCAAGGAATTACTGGATGGGTCACATAAAAAAGATGGTCAAAAGAGACATTAGTTTTCCTTCATTTTTATTCCTCAAAAAAGTTCACAGCAGCAAGCATGAGATTTAAACCTAATGCATTTCAGTCATAGTTCAGCATCTAATCACTATATTACATTAGCTCTCAATAGGTGCAATAATGTTGTGGTGTCCTTAAAAAAAAAAAGGAAAAAAGCAATTTTAGGGGCAAAAGGCCAGACTAGACTCTAGGGCAGGGGTGTCAAACTGCCGGCCCGCGGGCCAGATGCGTCATCCGGAAGCTGCGCCCACCCCATTGCCGGCAATTGCAAAACCGTCCTGATACATTGCGCAACGTCACGTGACGTCGCGAGTTTGACATGTCTGCTCTAGGGTCTGTGTACATACTATACATATGCAAAAAAAAACACCCACATGAATGCATTGACTCTCTTAACAACTGTGGCATTTGCTTAACAACTGTATTTAGTTAACCCCTACAGCAAAAAAAAGTTTGTCAAATTAGACTGGTCACATGGGTGCCTCAACTAATGAACTTCATAATTTACAACAGAAAATCTGGGCTCCGTTATGGTTGTAAATTGAGGACTATAATTTGCTCCATTTCCAAGGGGTTAAAAAGTGAATCTGATCTGGACACTGTGCTGTGACACTTTTATATATCATAACAGATTATGGGCATGCATTGTCATCATCTTTCCCTGTACAATCAATATGGAAAAGATTAACTTTTTCAGTAATACTGAAGATTTCAGTCCTTTTATTTTGATATATTTTTTTGGTACTTTCATCCCAACATCAAGACAAAATTATAGCCTGTTTGTCTCCAGTGACAACATTAATATAATGCTTCATTCTATGAGGAATGTATTTGTTTCTTTCCATTCTCCCCACAGCTCTAAGAAAACAGTATTAATACTATCAGAAAAACTGATAGAAGATAATATAGAAACAGACATTTAACTTGGGCAATCATGTAATGTTTGTTACAATTGCTAATACACCATTATAACTAGACATTGTTTTGATGTACTATCTGGAATGTTTCTGTGAGGAAAAAGGTTCCTTCTACATTATTCTCTTCACTCACAGATGAGGCTACTCCCACCCTTACACATCTCTGAATTGTGTGTTAGTAACTCTCATTACTTTGCTAATTACATTTCAAATATAGAGAGAAAGTAAGAGCTATTTGTATAAATCTGGTATTAATTAACACATGCATAAGATTTCCTCTGTTTTAACAATATACTTATTTACCTCATTTTATGGAAATAATTGGAAATAATTAGAATTTCCCTTGTCAAATCATTTCTTTATTTTTCCCTCCAGTGCCATAATGGAACACAAAGAATTGTTAAAAGTTCCCTGGGACTGGCAAATAGGTAAGACTGGAACTTGTTTTACTATTGGTTATTGTTTGAAAAATAAATTATGTTTGAGATTATAGGCATTGCTGAAACGACAGTGGTGGCAACATCTTTGTTTAGCTCCACATAGGCCTAAAAATAACATAAAGGGAACTTACCTTTTTTGCAGCCTATACTGAATTCAGCTGAAATTGAAAAATTCGTAAATATTAGCCGGGTTCATCAAGCTTGCTTACATTGGGTTTTCTAAATCATAGTTTATGGTTTAGTGTCATGTGGCAACCACATCACTGACCGGTGTTTGGTTTGAGCTGGAAAAAGGGCAACTAGTTAAATTTGTATTCCCATCAGTGAACAATACTGAAATATTTTTGGATCTGCAAATTACTGTGGTAGGCAGTAATGGCTTTGTGTGGTACATAAGCCAGCCATGGCTGATTATAAACCATAGTTTATAGTTTAATTTCATTGTTTGGTCCACTCCCATTACTTTGCCCTGTTTATGATAATGGGCAAATTGAAAGCAAAGCAAATAGAAATTGAGAAAATGTGGTTTTTTTCACATTTCTTAGTGGGATAGGCAAGAGAGACCTTGTCTTCGTTTCTAAGAATTGGCTAGATGTGGTCTGTTGGCCACTTCTTCTTTCTCTTTTCTCTTTCTTGATTTAAAAAAAAACCCAGTCTGGTGTGTGTGTTTTTAACTTAAAACAAGAGGGGGAAAAAACTTAAAATGAAGAGGAGACAGAACTCCCTAGTTGGCAATCTCCTGCAAAACCTCCTGCAAGTGACCTCTGTTTCTCCCCACTGCTTTGGATTCTTAAAAAAAAAATTTTTTTTTACACCTTGTACAAGAATTGGAAAAAATGTGTGGGAGGAGACTGTACTAGGAGGTGCAATCTTTGTACTGGTCCAAATATTTTTTTTTCATCTGTATACACCATTGCTGTGCTAAGCAAACAGTTTCCTCTTGAGGATCATTACTTAAGTACTACAGTAATGGTGGCATTTGATACCATCTGCATTAGAAGGCTACAAATGCCAGATAAGGCAGAAAGGCACGTTGAGCCCAACTGCACTTATAATCAGGAATAAGGGAGGTCATATGCTCAGTAGGCCTCAATAGCTCCTTTCCAAGTGAATATCAACAGCAGCAGGTTGGAGAGCTCCTTAAGCTGACTGGTTACAGAGGCAATAGCTGAGGAGCGCAGTTATAAATGACCCAGTCGACCATTGCTCCCATTGGGCCTTCCCTCATCATTTCCTCTAATTAGCCCCAAACCTTAATGAAGCTGTGCACATCTGCTGTTACACTCAGTTGCAAAAATCTTCCTGTTTTTTTTTCCTCCAATATGGTTCCTAAATTGAACGCGGATCAATGTAAAGCATGACTGGTCTTTCTGATCAAGCAGTTGAGATTTTTACAAGGCTTCTGGGACTCATTTCCCTTTTAGGAAGAAATGGGAGAAATATGTTTGGTGGTGTGAACTAACTAATCACCAGCAGCGGTGTGGTTTCTGAGGCAAAGACCCTCCAGCTTCACCAGTCTGTAAACAGGTAGCCTCTGAAGCACATTTTGCTACCGTTCAATTAGTAAAAGCAGATGTTTTGTTAGAGCAGAGAGCACTTGATTTTGGATTCCATTTGCACATTACACTAAATCAATGAGATGCAACCTTTTCTGGGCTAGGAGTGGACAGAACTGGGATAAAAATTAAAGTCAAGTTTATTTTATTTACATGTATCACAAGGGTATCCATGACTGGCCGGGAGAATTCTGGGCGTTGAAGTCTGCAAGTCTTAAAAAAGAAACTGTCAAGTGCCCAGGAAATAGAGAGATTCAGACAGTTCAAATGAGTACAAAGATCTATTGCAAGCTTAAGCTCCCCACAAGAACCTGGCCAACTGAATGTTAAGGGAATTGCGCGGGAGATAAGAGAGGCATTCAAGGTGGGCTGGACTTAGATCTCTTGCGGGGGTGCGGGGACTTGTGACTTATGACGTGTTTGACCCTTCCTTCGAGCTCAGTCTGGTTATCTCCTACATAAACTAATATTTGGGAGAGTTTTATTTTTTTAACTAAGTATGCCTGATGTGCCTTCTTTTTTTCCTTTTCCTTTCAATTTACTTATCTGGTATTTTATTCTGGTTTATATTATGTCTTTTGGTTACATCATGTCTTTTGGCTGGGCAGTTAATGATTATTTTTTCATTAGTGTTTTTAATCATGCAATGGATGAAGCCTCCAAAGAAATATTGGATTGCAGTTGGATAGAAATACAATAAAAAAAATGGAGCAGGAAAATATTGAGAACTTAAATAAAGAAATCCAGGGAAGTCATGGTGATGAAAAATGATATTATATTATGACATCATTATGCAAATGACATGAATTGCATAACACATATGAAGTCATTCACCTTTTTTTGCAGACTCAGTCATGGCTTGGCATAATGTCTGGGCCTAGCTTATGACTATCAAAACAGAGTAATTATGTTTTTTGTATGCTACAGATCAGGCAACAGAATAATTCTGACCTGTAAGGGTTCTGCAGACCTTGCCAAGGATCTAGACTCAGAATTCCACAAAAAAACAACCTTCTCTACTCAGTTTTGCTAGCCTCTCACCTATTTCCATCACAAAAGATGCACCCGAGTCTTTGCAAAAGCTCAGTGGCTTTCTTTGAAGCTAAAAAAATAATGGAATATAGTGTGTGAGGGAGACGTTTAACTGTTCTGTCCCAAAAATCTCCCCACCCCACCGCACTCCCCAATGTACATTAAGTGCTGAATATGTACTGTGTACTACTAGAAGATGGATGGCTGCATTTTAATAGTAGCCATTAGTTCCACTAGTAGCTCGATCTTTAAACCAAGGGGAAAGTAGCTCTTAAGGAAAAGAAAAAAAAGAATCTTAACCCTGCTGTAAATAGACTTTTATGTGTCCAAGGTCCTGAAAGTAATTACATTCCCTTAGTAAATTTATGGTATATTTGTTCTGGAGCCGTCTTCAAGAAAAAATGATACGAGATTGTGACATAAATCACACAGGGAAAGAAACAGTATTTGCCTAGTTATACAGATAGAGCCAGTTCTATCTAGTTGTCAAGACCCCAGGCTATAAACCAGGAAACTGGGAGTTCTAATCCTGCCTTAGGCATGAAAGCCAGCTGGGTGACTTTGTGCCAGTCACTGTCTCATGGCCCAATGCACCTCACAGGATTGTTGCTGTGGGGAAAATAGGAAGTGAGATTAGGTATATTTGCCACCTTGACTTATTCATTAAAACAATAAATAAATAAATAAATAAATAAATAAATAAATAAATAAATAAATAAATAAATAAATAAATAAATAAATAAATAAATAAATAAATAAATAAATAAATAAATAAATGGGAGATGTTGCCTCTCATTAATCCCTTTTTTGTTGCTAATTCTTGTGAATAACTTTGCTTTTGAATTTCTGGGGGTTTTTTTGCATTTAGTTCTAAATTTGGGAATATTGTTATTTTTGTGAATATAGTACATACGATCGCTTTACAATGATTATCATTCTTGTAGTAATATTGTACAAAGATAAAACATCCAAATCAGGGAGGACGAGGGTAGAGTGTTAGGACTGTAGAGAGTGAGTGTGAAAACTGGCAGGTTATAAGCTATCAAACGAGGGCCAAGAATGACATATTTTTTTTTTGTAATGTTTCAAGTCAGCAGTACGTACTTTAGGTAGCCAAATACACAGGAGCATTGTCTGAAAACCCGGGATGGGAATGTGTGCCATGACGTGGAAACCTCCCGACAGGCCACTCTCTCAGTTTTTTTTTTTTTATTCCATCCTTGCAAGTACAAAGCTGAAGGTAAGATTTATTTTTTCCTGGATTATGTCTTGGCTGACTCTGCTACTTCAGATCACAAATAGATACGGCCATCTTCCTTTTCTCCTGGCATACCTTGGGTAGTTAGAAATCTTCAAAAGTTTATTTCTCTCAGCAGAAAAGTTGCCTTCAGAAAAGGGTGGGCAACATAGTACTGACTGTTTATCATTTATGTTTCTTCCTTCCTTCCTTCCTTCCTTCCTTCCTTCCTTCCTTCCTTCCTTCCTTCCTTCCTTCCTTCCTTCCTTCCTTCCTTCCTTCCTTCCTTCCTTCCTTCCTTCCTATAGGATTACTGTATGTTGGCTTTAGTGCCTGCATGTTCGGCCTCTATAGCTTCATGCCTGTGGTCATTAAGAAAACGAGTGCTACAGCGGTCAACCTCTCCCTTCTTACAGCAGATTTATACAGCCTTTTCTGTGGATTCTTTCTCTTCTACTACAAGGTAAATGGATTGATCTGGTTACAGGTAGTCCTCGGCTTATGGCCATAATTGGGACCAGAATTTCTTTTGTTGGCAAGGCGGTCGTTAATTGTGCCCAATTTTATAACTTTTTTGGGGGGATACAGTTAAGTTAATCACCACAGTTGTTACAGTGACTCACATAGTTTTTAGGTGAAACTGGCTTCCCCTATTGACTTTTCTCATTGGTGGGAAGCTCACCAATGGTGATCACATGACCCCAGGACACTGCAACCAGTGTAAATACATGCTGGTGGGCCAAGCACTGGAATTTCGATCACATAACCAGGTGGCTTTAAGTGAAAGGGTCTGTCATAAGTTACTTTAGTGTTGTTGTACTGGCAAATGGTCACTAAACGAATGGCTGTAAGTCGAGGATTACCTGTATATGAGTAATTGATCACTGTCTTGCTAACATTAACATTGCACTAATGATGATAGCATCTAAGACAGGGTTCTTCAAACTTGGCCCTTTTATGACTTGTGGACTTCAACTCCCAGAATTCCTCAGCCAACGTGCCTGGCTGAGGAATTCTGGGAGTTGAAGTCCACAAGTCATAAAAGGGCCAAGTTTGAAGACCCCTGATCTAAGAGCTGTGGTGATGCAGTGGTTAGGTTGCAGTATTGCAGGCTAATTCTGCTGACTGCCAGGGGGTTTGATCCTGACAGGCTCAAGGTTGACTCAGCCTTCCATCCTTCCGAGGTGTTGGGAGCAATGTCTTTTGGTTACATCATGTCTGAGGCAAAGACCCTCCAGCTTCACCAGTCTGTAAATAGGTAGCCTCGGATTGTTGGGGGCAATGTGCTGACTCTGTAAACCACTTAGAGACGGTTGTAAAGCACTATGAAGCAGTATATAAGTCTAAGCGCTACTGCTATCTTCAAAGTTCATACTGTTTTCAGTCCAACTTGTTTGCTCTGAATGGTTCTGATGCAACCACTGTACAGCATTCCTCCTCTGATTGTTGAATATACCAAAAAAGCAACTTCTCTGATTTGCATATCAGCCATCAGTCATTACTGGAAGGAAGACTCAACCCAGGGGGTTAAGCAAGGTTGCACCAGGATGGTTGTTTGTGGCAACTGAAGAATGGTTGGATTGTGGCTTATCTTGATATATAAACTCTTCTAGCATGAGAACAAGCAAAGAGTCTGGAAATATGGATTCCAGTTAATGTATGATCAAATACGGTATCAAAATATTTATTAAATTTTCATGCCACCCACCTCACGGTTACAGTGAGATGGGTGGCTTACAATATAATGAAAAGCAAAGCAATTAAAATTAAGAAGATTAAACAAGAAGCTTAAAACCAAGACGATATGCTGATCAACATAGGCTAGGTTTTTAAATTCAGGGTTTAAATATCCCATTTGTTCAGATTAAACCTTATGTGTTGTTAAGGAAAAGAAGCCATTATTAAGCGCATCTGCTGCATAAGGGCATTCTGAGATTTCCCCAGCTGGACAAAGCAGAGTTCCAATTTTGAATTGAATAACCCGGATGTTGTGGATTGCAAGTAACTTAATGTGATATTTTCAACTTGTAACTAGCAGATGCCTTCAGTTTCCTGTGGTGTTGTAATCCCTAGCTTTGTTCTTGTACAAGGAATGAAAGTATCCCCGATCACCGTAGGCATAAAGCATTAATATTAAATTGCTTGTGTTAATTATCATGCCGAGGATGATTTATTCTGCATGTTTTCCACTTGCTTTGGTTTCAGCCCAGCTGTTCTTCGCCTCAGCTACATCATCCCTTTTTTTTTTTTTTTGTAATCACTGACCGATGGACAAAAGCGTCTCTTCATGGGAGAGCAAAAGGCTTTATGGTTAATTAGAACCATCCCAGCACTTTAGTATCTCTTCCAAAATTCACAGTCCTTATACTTTCAAGGAGCTGCTGGGCTTCGCTGTCTCTCTCTCCTCTGACCTATAGCAAAGAAAATATAAATCAAACAAAATGCAAGGAACTACCTTTATTTTGCTTTGGAAAGTAATTGGAAAAGCATTTTAGCATTCAAAGGGGTTGAATCATCTTAACTTGCCATTAGAGCTGAACTTTTCAAGATTTATAATCTGCCCTGCATTCATTAGTGCCATAGGCTATGTTGTTGCAAAGAAGATGAATGCAAAAGAAGTGAGAAATATGGCATTAGGACTCATGAATAATTGAGTAGATTATTTATAATGAGGAGAATTGCATTCATATTTTTATTAAACTATAATGACTTAGGAGTTACACTATAAGAAAGTAAATTCCATTTTAAAAAAAAACTCAGAGTGAATTTGGGTTATAAAATTATGTCTAAAGTAATTCTGTGTAATGAGTAATTGATCTTGCTAAACACCCATAATGGCCAAACATAGTCTATTATCAATCTTTTCTCACATAGCAAACCCATAACATATAATGTCCTCTAGCAAATTATTGCTGATTTTTGTTCATACTACCATCAGAAATTCTCTTGCCAAAGCAGGATTCATACTTCATTAAAAGTAATTAAGTATTAAATACCTGATGTAGAAGTCCTAAAAAGTCATTATTTATCATTCTTCAGGGAAAACCTGAAAAAATGGCAATCTATATAGTTCAGAGTCTTTTCCTCTGTTCTTCAGAACTGAAAGAGGTAGGATATATTGTATTTAGCTTACAGCTTCATTGTTTTTCAGGACAATATAGACCAGGAGTATGGCACTCCCAAATTTTGATGACAACTAGATGGCAACAAAGAAACAGGGAGCACACTCACTCTTTGCCTTCATTTTGTACTTGTCCAGATTGTTGCAGCCCAGATCTGGTAGACATACTTCCTTCCATTTCTCCCATGGCCTTACACTTCTCATACCTCATATCTTATACCTCATACCTACTATTGCAACTTGTTTTCATGATGTCTACCTACAATTCAAATGATTTCTAGTATTATTACACAGAACTTTCAGCTCAGGCAAAAGTCAGTTATTTTAATTGCATGCCTTCCAGTTTGGTCAATTCTTCCATTTTTTTCAATGAGGTGAGAAGAGGGAGTTGTAATACAAATGACCACAAAGGCAGGTAGAATGCTTGGTGAGATTCTGTCTGGTAGCCAGAGCATAATGCTAGTAGAGCCAATGTAGGTTGAAACTTGAAGGCTTCCAGAATTAAAAGTCTGCAAAGCTCAGGCTGGAATTGTAACTATAAGAGACAAGATCCAGGGATAGAAGTAGGCAACCAATGACACACAGATCCAGGAAGGTGGAGCAAGGCATTGTAGAGAAGAAGGGTGGTTTAGATCAAGCTGGAGTTCCACAAGATGGGCCATGTCATAAAGGCTCAATGTTGGAGGGTTGTTTCCAAAGGTGAGCAAGGCTCTATCAGCTATTCCTAAGTAGTCCCAGCTGCAAACACAGCTCAGTCAGGGGCCTTCCCTTGCTTCCTGTGAAACTAAGCAGCTCATCTTTGCTCTGTCCTTCAAAGTTGCTGGTACATCCTGGGCCTTAGTGCTCTGCCAGAATCTAAAACTGTCTATTCCTGCTGATGGTCGCCCTTCAGCTTTTGACTCAAAGAATCAGCATAGACCATAACAGTAGGAATTGCAAGATGCCATTCAAAGTAGATATTGCTATTGATGCCTGGCCAAAGGGCAAGTCTATTTTACAACATACAGTAAAACATCTGAAGTCAGTTGGGGTCATTGCCAAAATTACTTGGAAGTCATGATCATTGCGAGTCATATTACCACAATACTATGGTTAATCTGGTCTGAAAGGTATTTTTGTAAAAAGAGATGTCATTCACTCAGTTCAACTTCTGCTGGTGACTTTGATGAAGATCTTCAGGTACACAAGAAAAAGTGAATAACTTTAGAGCAAGAATGGAACCTACATTTTGGGTGCCATCACTATACTTTTGGGTCCTTTGAACCACCCAAGATTACTCTGCTAGGTAATCTGTCATATTTTCTCAAAGTAAAGGCTAATAGAAGTTGATTAAGTTAAGCTTAGTGCAGCTAATTCATCTTTAATCTTACATTTTGGTCCTCCCTGTGGTGACATGACTATTTGGAGTGCACAAAAATGATTGTGCAGCCCTGTGTATATTTTCACACATACAGTACATAGAAACTAATATTTTTGTTCTTATTTAAATTATTATATGAATTTTATGTGAATAATATACAGCAATGATAAAATTGTCAACTATATTGCCTCCAAGGTTTTTTTTTCAAATAAATTATATTGCTCTTTTCTTCATAGGAAAAGTTATTTTAAGTGTGAATTAACAATGCCAATGGATTCTGCTTTTTGACACTGCAACACTGTATATTACATCTTAGAGATTTATCCTTGTCTGGAACACAGACTTTACTTTTGAAAATCAATAGATAATTTTATGAAACAGCTGCCGTTGCAATTTTTTTTTGTCTGATGCAGAAAAACATGAGAAAAATGCTACAGAGAATGAAAAAAATGTAATTCAGGACACTTTTAGGGGTTTTATTTTCAAAGCTTTGTTCAGTGTTTATGCACATTTAGACTAATGCTTTAATTGGATTTTGTGCAAACAGATCATTGAAGAAAAAACCAATAAATACAAAGCAAAGGAAACATAGGAATTCATTTTATATAAAGTTAGACTATTACTGTCTGCGCTGATTGTTGTCCCCATTTCAAGATCTCAGAAATGTTTTTGCATCTTCTGTTATTTCATTTTTAATAGACGATGTCAAGAACTAAAACTGGGTCTTGGCATAGAAAACATGTTTCTGCCTCTGAATTGCAAAACTACTTGGGTAAACAATACAGCAAGTTGTTGAACGCTTTCATACCTTTCCTCTCATACCTTTTGCAGAAAGGACTAAGATCAGCAGGTGAAAGTACATGCATAAAATAGCGAGTAGGGAGAAAAATGACTACATGTTAAAATAAATCTTCAAGGTTTTTGCTTTTTTGTCTTCAATCTTATATAAACTTTGGTCCCTCCCTTTAGTCAATTCTAAAGG